GAGGGAGGGAAGAGCGTAAGGAGGCGGGGATTCCGGCGCTTTCCCGTACGTTGGCTGCCGGTGCCCATCCCCCTTCCTCGCCCTCGCCCTCCTCCTCGCCCTCGCCCTCCTCCCCGACCTTCTCCCCCGGCCTTCCGGAGTCAGGAAACCGCCCCTCCTCCACCCCATGCCACTTCACCCTCCCTTCCTCCCCAATCTCTTCTCCTGCCAGCGTCTCCCCTTCCACCAGTCCCTGCGCAGGACGGTGCAGCCTTTCTTGACTCCCATGGGGGGGTGCCTGCCTGGGCCCTTCACCCCCCCCAAGGGAAAGAGGCAAGGATGAACGAGGTAAAAGAGTCGGTCGGTCGGGGCCCTCGGATAGCCAGTCGCTCTCCCCCGGGCGGGCAGACGCCACGCCCCCCTCCGCGGTCCAGCCCATCGTCCCTTTGGTCTCGCTGCGCAGGAAAGGGGGTTGCGTGCAATCCTTTTCTTTTCCGGCCGATGCCGCGCCGTTTTCCATACTGGACGGCCCTGCGTCGAACAGTGTTTGCACAGGCGGCGTCGTTTCTGGGTCTTCCATCCCTCTGTCATCTTCCTCTTGGTCATCCGCAATGGCCTCGGCTCGAGCATCGTGGGCGGGCGGGGCGGGGGAGGGGGAAGGAAACACAAGAGGAAGGGCCAGGCCAAGATCGACCGTCGCGACTCCATATCTGGCATGAATGTATGGTTTGTGGAAGGAGGAGTACAGAAAAATGTCATGCAAAGAAAAGGACGGTCTATAGACCCACCGACGGGCACGGTCCAGCGCAGGGAGTCTTGAGTGGGGGCTTTGGAGGTGAAAGGGCACAAGGATGGCATTCTTCCAACTAAAAACTTGAACGGAGGCTTTCACACAGCACCCAATCAAACATGTGCATTTCCAACGGAGCAGTTGGCGGACGTGGTCGGTCATACCTGTGCTCCCAATCCAGCTTCCATCCCAGACTAGCGCCTGAGACGGAGGAAGAGGTAGAAGCCGAGGGAGAGGAGAGTCTTGAGGTCGTCTGGTCCAGGCTGTTGCTACTATTGCTGTTTTGGATCGTTAGCTCGCGCGTTGAGCTGGTTTCGGTGTCATTTCCGATTCGGTCCTCGTACTTCCCAGAGGAGGAGGTGGTGGTACTGGAGGGCAGCATTATAAGAAAGGACTCAAATTCTCCTGGCTGGCACGAGCCCCATTATTTTAAGGCATCTTTTCCGTTCACCCCAGGACGCTTTCGTCCTGTGATTTATGCGTCCAGGAGGTTGTTAAAAACACGGACTTCGGGTGAGTGAGTGGTATGGTGCAATTTGAGCGGTAATGGCGAGGCAGAGAAAGCGACAGCGGCGTCGAGCTTCCGGCGGAGCAACAGGAACACTGAGGGAACGCACGACCGGAAACACCATTCTTTTTGTTCAAATGGTGCGAGGGACGATATGAAAGCTTGAGAAAGATAAGACTGTGGGGTGTGTGTGTATCTGACGGTACTTGGGGCTTTGAGACAAATTTCTCATGCTTTCAAAGTTTGTGTCAATAACCTCCTACACTGCCAGCGCGACGAGCACTGGAACGTCAATGGGAGCACGTACAGCGATATATTTACCACCGTGTGTAACGCCGTGAGGGAATCATTTGTCGGGAAAAGCCTGTCATGAATGCGATTGCCGAATTCAAGGAAACTTTGGTTTTAGGCGACGTACATCTGCGGCTTGTTGAGTTTTCAGGCACTGCCTCATTACATTAAGGACAAAACAAACGAGCAGAGTTCCCTTTCCCTTTGTTAGGTCGCAAATGGCGAAAGAACCCATGATACGAGACAATCAGGAAAGCACCCAACACTGTATCCCGGCGTCGCTGCGTTGCTGCGTTCGACACAGGAAGGGTGTTTTACCTTCGGCATCCGCTATTCTCCACGCGAGAGTCGAGATGCCATGATCTCGCCTAAACGTTACGCGTCATATTTCCCCGGGACCATAGCCTCCCCGCAGCATTGCCAACCCCCCTCTTCCCTCCCTCCTCCGCCCCTCTTCCTCCTCCCCTGCCTCCCCCCTCCCTTCCTCAAGAGAACAAGGTTCTCCGTTCCCCTCCGTCGGGGGCACGCAGACGCACAACCAGGGCGGTGATGTTGTCCCGCGAGCCCCGTCGCATGCTCTCCTTTACAATGTCGTCCGCCAACTCCACCAAGTACGTCGGCTGTGGACCGGACGGAGAATGAAGCCGAAAAAAACCGAAGGGGTGAGGCCATACACCGGCAAACCGCCGGATGTTGTCCGATTTACAGGTAGGCGCCATTGTTCACTTTCCTCAACAATCCATCCTTTGTCAGTGTACACGCACGTCTCTCCCCCCTTTTACCCTCCTCCTCGGGCCTTACCTTCCTCGTTCCCTCCCTCGCCATCGTCCCGTGCTCGTCCACGTAGGCGGCCATCGCCTCGTTGCTGAACACGTCCCACACCCCGTCGCACGCGATGACGAGGAACTCATCCAGCGCACTACGGGGGTGGATGTGCACGTCGGGGAGGGGGATGATCTGG